CCACAACAGCTCCTTGTGACTGAGCCCCACTATCATAGCCTCACGTGCATCTGGTCCGAACATTTTGCTTGGACTTGAGGTATTCATTTCTAAAGCGTATCAAGTAGGCTCGTAAGCTCTCGCCCACTCCTTGTTTTATAGTGAGAAGGTGCACACTAAGAAAAGATGTTTTGAAACTGCTGTAGTTTTCATGAAACCAATAAACTAACAGTATGGCCGATTTCTAGAGTAAGGAGATGTTTCCCTTGCTAGGTTCGTGCTAATCCGACTAACGTGGAGATAAATCCCCTGCAATAATGTACATTAAAGGCACAACCGCGCATCAGATTGTGGTAAAATGTGATGTATTCGATGGGGCTTTGGTCCCGTCAAACTTGTCAATTTGGAGAGTGTTGAATCCTTGGGGGAGGCTAACAGCTAGTATGTTGTCCGTAGAAGACAGCGACTAAATAGCATCGTGAACGAGGTTGGTTAACATCTCGAAGTAGTTTGAACTGTGATATGATTTCCAGCCTCTCGTCCTGGAAGTCAATCTATCTAAGCTGTTTTGGAAGAAGTATCTGGGGAGAGAATAAAACATCTAAGAGTTGAGCAAAAGATAGATGCTTTATATAAGAACTTTCAGTCTCTAGCGTTGAGTATTTTATATAAGGACTTTCAGTTATCATTTGATTCTCTCTCTCTAGATACGAGAAAAAGCTTCTCCCAAACTAGCTTAGACAGCTTCCAAGAAGAGAAGCTCGAAATCAGATCACAGTTCGGACCACCTGGAGATGTTAACCAACCTCGTTCGGGAGGCTATTCAGCCCCAATCTTTTATAGACAAATTACTAGTTGTTAGCCTCCCCAAAGATTCAACACTCTCCAAATTGACAAGTTTGACGGGACCAAAGACCCTATCAGACACATCACAGTTTACCACAATCTGATGCAGGATTGTGGCTACAACGATGCATATTATTGCAGGGGATTTAGCTCCACGTTAGTTAGTCAGACCCGTACATGGTTCTAGAACCTAGGCAAGAGAAACATCTCCTCATTCCAAAAATTGGCCACACGGTTAGTTGATTCCAGAAAAAATACAGCAATTTCAAAACATCTTTTCATGGTGTGTACCTCCTCACTCTAAAACAAGGAGAGAGTGAGAGCTTACAAGCCTACTTGATACGCTTTAAAAATGAATACCTCCAAGTCCAAGCAAAATGTTCGGACTAGATGACTAGGCTATGATAGTGGGGCTCAGTCACAATGAGCTGTTGTCCTCACTACACATGGAGCCCCCTATCAGTTTTGATGACTTATCGTCTCGAGCTCTGAAATACATTTTAACCAATGATTTGGCTGAGGCCCAAAAGTGAATACGAGCAAGTTGGTCGGCTGGGAATGAAGTTTTTAACATTGGACAATTCCTAGTTGGTTTGGTTTACTGTGACAGACCCTTTTAGGGGTGAGGATCAAATTTTACCATTAAACAATTTAATTTCAAAGGTATACTTATTAGACAATTCTTAGTTGTTTTGGTTTAAGACCCTTTTAGAGGTGTGTATCAAACCAAGACTATCTTTTACCATTTGGACAATCGAAATGAGGAGGTGGTGCACACCTTTCAACGAACGCTAAGGCCAATTCGTGGAATGATGAGATGATGGAGTCTCCTTTGCCTAGGTTGTAGAACCATGTACGTGCTGGTCCGACTAATGTGATGCTAAATCCCCTGCAATATTGAGCATCGTTGTAGCTGCAACTCTCCATTAGATCGTTGTAAACAGTCATGTGGTCTTTGGTCCAGTCATACTTTTCGATTTGGGGAGTGTTGAATCCTTGGAGAAGGGTAACTGCTAGTATTTACTCTGTAAAGGCTCAGACTCAAGAACCTCAAGAACGAGCGTTTTTAACATCTCCAGGTTGTCTGAACAAGAGGAATGGTCACTGTCAGCCTCTCAGACGTGATTCTATCTAAGTTGGTTTGGGCAAAGCTTTTTCCGTATCAAAGAATCAATTAATGAACAAAGTCGTTGTATAAAATACTCAACTCTCTTGGCAAAAGATAGATGCTCCTGACCACGAAACAAAGTGAACGGTAGTAAGCAGATAAAATTTATATTTCTTCCTCAGAAAAAACATTATACCATTTTTTCTCTTCCTTCAAGTAAATTTTAAAAAATACTTGAAGCGAGAGAAATGCAAGTCATCAAATACTTAAGGGTGTTAAAAGAAAGTTACTCCATAACTTTAAGCCAAGTTTTTTCCAACCTACTCTCTTCGTTATTATTGTATGAGTTTTTTTAGTATATGCGTTGGGGTGAATATTCGAACTAATGAATTTGTAGTCGAAATAAATTTATTGCATCGTCGAACTCACTCGTAATGGCAGGGTTACTTACTCGTAAAAGACGAAGTTTTCCCACACAACAAAACATGTATAAAAAAGAGAAATAAATTTCTAGAGATATAGAGAGAGAAACAAGCCTGAAGTCTCCCACCATATCATATCTGGGAGTTATACCAAGAAAGGGAATCGATGATTAAAATGGCGTGAGGGTGGTGTTGAGGCAAGGACAAGGGCTTCTCCATGATCACCATCATCCCTGACTCCTTCCGACCACCTCATCGTCACGTTTCCACTCTATTGAAGATCGAAATTGTGGCATTGAGGCGTTCGGAAAGTTCCGAGGGGAGATGCTTTGTTACGAATGCCCACTCCCACTACACTCATCACTCAACACTCTAAGGATTGAGGATGCTTTTAGGTAGGGAGGCGAGTGAGCCGTCTAAGGCCTAGGAATGTCTCATATTTTCCTGGTATCTATTTAATTCAGTTTTTAATTATAAATTAAATTTAAAATATAAAATAATTTACTTATTACCTTTTTTTATAATATTGAAAATACACCCCACTAAAAAGTCCAAAATTAATAGGCTCATAAATTTCTCTCAATTTTGATTAGATTAATTTTCAAATTTGTTAACCTTAATCTATTTGTTCACGTTTCTTACAAATTTTCTTAAAATCGCAACCCATTAATATAAGTTTTCATAATCCTCCTCCCAAGTTTACTTTGGGAGTGTGGAGACCTTCCATATTTTGACCTCTCTCTGTCAGTACTCTCCCCCTCCCACTCTCAATCTCTCTAAAATCTCACATTTTCATCTTGATCTTCTATATGGTCTCACAATATTATCCATTGCTATAGTAAAAATCAAAACTTCTTATTTCCTCAACTCAACCTAACGTTTCAGGTTTTTCGTTCAAATTCTTTTACATTTTTTTATAAATTATTTCATATTGTTGATTGCTCAAAATCTAATATGTGAGATTTGTTTAAATTTGCTTACTTAGAATATAATGTCTAAAAATATACGAATCTTGATATGAAAAGCTTAAAAGAAAAGAAGAGTAGAAAAACTTATTGAATATCAAAAAGTGCCATCGATATTGAAAGTAAAAGTAATAAAATGACAAAATAATAGAAAAATGATAGATATAAGATAAATCAAGAGATGAAAAAAAAAGTAGATAATGATATGATTGTTGAGAACGAAGCATCTAATCATGAAAAGAAAAAAAAACTAAAGAGGAAGTATAGAGAAAATGAATTCACACCTGCTATGATTTTAGCTAAGAAAATTGCAAATGTTACGAAAATACAACCAATATTCATACTCAATAAACTAATATAATACATCAAGATTTGTTAGGGTTAAGTTTTCAATATTACAGCTTAATCTTAATATTTATGAAAATGCATATTCTTATATGCATTTGGAGGAACACTTTTATTTCATCGAATTGAACACCAAATTTAGATAAGTGTTGCAGAAGACAACATCTATTCAATTTTCCCTTATACATTCATTAATTTAAACAAAAGAAATCTACAAAAGAAATTCATTAATTTAATAAAATCAAAATTTTCTCAAAATAAGTTTGATTAATGTATAAAATCCACCCTTAAATACCTCATATACGAATTTTTTTTTTCAACAAATTTATCAAATTTTTGTTGCAAAGAGGAAGAAAAAGGGTGTCAAGTAACAACATGTAGTCCTTCTCTGTTAAGTATATAATGTATATACATAGTTAATTAAGTTTGTTTACATAGAAAAAAGATTATTTATTGTAATAAAAAAACCACTCAATTTTTTAACAAAACAAAATTCCAAAATCAATTACAAAACAAAAGTAAATATGAATCAGCATAACTATTGCTTTAATTTTTTATCTAATTAGTTCATAATCAATCAAATATATTTTAACTAAAACTACTTTTTTTCTTTTTAGTAACTATTATAGGGTGAATAAAACTTGAACTCCCGACTTTAAATACTGTAATTGATGTCTTATTTCATAAATTATACTCGACTGGTTAATATAAAAGGAGAAAGTATTTTTTTATCTAATAAAAATAAGAAAATAGAATTAAAAAATTTATCATATAATAAATTAGCGATAAAAGTAAATAAAATGAGAGAGGTTGTGAGAAATATGGTGGAAAGTAAAACTTAGATGAAAGCGGTAAATATGGTGGATGATAAAAGTTCAAAAATAAAATAGGCGGGTTTCACTTTCAAATTTAATAAAGGGAGAGAAAAGTAAAAAAAAAAAAAAAAAATTGACTTGATTTGACAGGTGTACATTTGTGACAGTGAATCTCCGAGGTTATCTCCCATATCGCCACGTGGCATAACGTCATAAAAGATAATCAAAATTATTCCGAAACAAGAAAGAAAAAGAAGAGAGAGACAGGACATCGTTTTAAGAAAATTAAATTTCAAATAAAGCAATCCAAATTCAAAACATATATATATAGTTATTAAAGGATTTTTGTTTCGGGAGAATTTGTAGCGATTTATTTAAATTTTAATAATAATAATTAAATAAATTGAATATTAAAGTATAAACTATTATTATTAGGTGCAAAATTTTGAAATTTAAAATTAAAATTAAATAAGTTTAAAAATAATGCATTAAATTCATTACTGTACCAGTCAAATCAAAATATTATAAGAAAAGAAGTTACTTCATGTTCATTAAAAAAAAAACACCATCACTTGTTCTTCTCGTCCTCCTTTGTTCCAATCAGTTAGATTCAAGGTGATAAAATATTTTATTTATATTTGTTCTAAAGTTATCAAACTTGTATCAGCCTCAATATAACGTTGTTTGCTCTATCTGTTTCCATACTCAGATTGCCCATCAATTACTTTTACGAACCGAACACATAATCGAGTCATCGACCTCCCCCCGAGCATCAGTACTCGACTTTTTAGGCTAATATGAGATATAGAACAGATGGCAAAGAGAGCCATCTAATTCAATCTACGCCGCTTTTACTGCAACCGTTCTTGCCTTCAAATTCAGAAAGATTGCCCTGAAACCACAAACTCCAGATTGTTAGTTACACTAAATTTGCACCAAGGGAGTAAATGCACAACATCAAATCACAGTATTTTCCCAAACAACATAGCTTCGATAATCCTTGATTCCTTGATGGATCGGAATCAGCATTTTAGATTTAGATCTTTGACTCTTTTGTTATAGAGATCATTTAGATTTATAATATGGTCTACAGTTGAACAGAAATGATGGTGGAAAAGAAAAATGAATGGTCTTACCAGCAGGAACCAACAAAGCTGTGAAATATCACTCGGAACTGCATAGGCATGTACTGGTAATTCACCCAACCAACCATAGGCCAGAACTGCATGTCATAAGCATCTTATTCTTATGCTCTAAATTAATAGACTTTCTTCATTTCTAACAATAGAATGAAAGAGGAAAAGAAAAAAAAAAGTTTGTTTTCGTACCCGCCACGCAGCCAACTGAATGGTTGGGTAGTCCTTTCGAACTTTATTCTTGACTAAACTCCATGACCTCCCTGAAATTAGAGACTTTAGTGTAAGTCAACATGAGATTTATTATTAATTTTTTTTTATGAGTGGGAATACGCCCCAAGGCCTGGATCTAAAAGACATCAAGAGTTTTTGGTATTAAACTCATCGAAAGGTTCGAACCTCTAAGCCAGTATAACCAAGAGACCCCAAATCCTTATCAATCGGACTGTCTCTTGAAGGCTAGTCTAACATGAGATTTATGAACTATTGTTTTGCTCAAATCAAGCTGAGACATGAAATTCTAAACGAGATTGACAGTCTTAACGTATCAATATCAGATAAGCATTTTGGGGCTTTGACTTATAAGTCGGGTTTACAGAGTATGTGATTACAATCCAAACTAAACCCTGTTTCATATGTGAGTTTTCCAATTTTAGATATCCAATTCTAAGCTACAAAGTTTATTAATATTATGAACTATATAAACTGAAATCATAGTCCACATTGTAAGTTATACCAATCATAAATCTACAAATTGAACATAATCCAAATATATTCGAGGTTCTCTATTAAATTCAAACATATACTAAATGAACTCAAAGTTCTCAACCATATACTACAAGTAGTCAAACTTTTGAAACCTAATGCTCTATTGAGGTTGACGTATTGGGCTAAGTTAGAGGAACATGATACAAATAAGAAGGCAATATAAAGCTAGAAAGGTTTTCCTTCCATGTAATGATACATGACAGCAAATTAACATCATTTTGCATTTTGAGTTCCAGTTTGATAACGATTTTGATTTTTAGTTCTCAAATTTTGAAAGTTTGTTCACCAACTTTGTTTTTGTTTTTCACCTTCTAAAAATCTTAACCAAATTTCAATAACATAACCTTTTTACACATACCCTTATTTATCAAAGTCAACAAAAGGGGGATTTAACATCCATAGAGATCAGAACTTGATGATTGATGCAGATGAAAAAAACTATTCAAAAGCTCAATTTGACCATTTGACCATAAGACATATTAAAGCTTAAGAAATAGTCAGCATTCAAGTTGCAGTGAAACAACAGCATCAAGACACAAAAATCTGCAAATAAAACTGAAGATAAAATTTGAAGTAATGGTAGATTTGGTTACCTTCAACTACCAAACCATAGTATATCATGAAAAGAATATTGTTCCAAGGGGAGCTGGTCAATTGTTCCAACAACACCTAAGAAACATAATACTTCCAACCATCAATATAACCACAGAAAATGTCCAAGACAGAAACTGCAAAGAAAGATTAAGGTTTGCCAAAATTTATACCTTCTTTGCAACAGTTGTATTGCCTTTCTTTCCCTTGAAAATTTTATCCATTAACTTGTGCAGAAAATGCCCAAATGGTCCAGAATAAGCAAAGCCATAGAGCTGAACAGCAATAATTCAAAATTTTCAACATCATAATTGCCAAACTAAAATAGTTCCCACCCACCAACCATTCTCCCCTGTTGTTGTCTAAACAGAGTGCAGAAAGCAGGATTAATCCCAGTTCATAACTAATTGAGCTAAAAGAAAGATATAATCATATGGGATCATACCACTAAAAGAAGTAATCTTCTTAATTGAAGCTTTTTGACCCCAGAAATCTTCTGGGCAACTGCATCACTGCAACCAGCTAAAACCCCAGCAGTGATTGCCTACAAAACAGAAATTAGAACACAAAATTAAGAAATCAGAATAGAATAAAGGGGGGAAAAAGAAGTTTAATCAGATTGATTAGATGAAACGGACCTTGGTTCTGAGAGGGTGCTTCTGAAGTTGGAGGAGATATCCTTTCCAGGCTTCGTTGACTACGTCAGACATTATGATCGAAACTTGAGAGTTGGGGGTTTTTTCAGATTTTAGGATGAAAATCGGAAGATGGGGAATGGAAATTGTGAGGATTCGGAAATGGGATTTGTAGAAAATTGTTGGGATTAAACGAAATTAAATACAAAAGGGTTGTTTTTTTTTTTTTAACTTTGATCGCAGTGTGATTTTGGTGTAGGGCTGCGATTGCGACGCCGTCAAATGAGAGACCCACAAAAGGATTTGACATGAATTTCAATTATACTACTACGCTTGAGACCAATTTTGTAATTAATCTTATTTTAAAATTTAAATTTGATTAATTATTGAGTTCATAACAATGATTTGTCACTACTAATTACATAATTAAACAATTAAACGAGCATTAGAAAATGAAATGGGAAAGTTGAACATGATCTTCTGGTTGAGTTCTTAGAAACTGTCTTAAAAGAATTTGAATTTTTCCAGGAAAAAGGAGATTGCTTTTGGACTTTGGAAAAATGGGAGAGAAGAAGTTTCATGCTGAATTTCAAGAAACACTCTATTGAAATATAGTCTATGGCCAATTTTCTTTTCTTTTGTTGGTTAGGAGGCCCGTTCTATTATTAAGTCTAAAAATACATTTTTGAGTACAACCCATCGAGGAAATGGAAGTTTAAACCTTCGATCTCAAGAGAATGAATATGTACCAATTACGATTGAGCAATGTTCATGTCTAAAAATACATTTTTTATTGGTAGGATATCAAATTTTTTAAATTCATTATCGTGTGCCCCATTGGTAGGTTAATTTATAAAATATATTTCACAAATGCCTCTCTTCTTAGTTATTTTTTTCAACTCTTTTAGATCATAAGCTCCGATTTGAGGCTGCGTTTAATCGGAATCGTCACAAAAATTCATTTCGTCTTACGGTATTTATCAAATTGTAGGAATGTAATCAAATAGTGGGACCCACTTTAAACTTTGTAATCTAAAAAAGATATAATCTCATTACACTCCTACCACTCGATCAGTTTCATTTATCTTCCTTATTTCGTGGGTCTCACATATATATTATAATTAATTTACAATTTTTACTCCTTCGCTCTCATCTTATTAATTAGACTCCTACTATTTTTTTTTATAATTTTATAATTTTTTCTCCATTTATATTTAATTTTTATTAGTTGATGTGATTTTATTATATAATATTATAAATGTATATTAATTAATATTAATATAATTTTTAAAATAGAAATTATTATTTTTAAATATTAGAATAATAAAATTTGTTATTATATTATATTAAATTATGATGGTTCAAATAAAAAAAATATTTTATTTGATGTAATTTTATTTTAATTATTCATTATTCATTAATATTAAATAAATTGTTATAATAAAAAATATTTACTATCAATAATATAATAATAAATTAAATTAAAATTTATTATTATCGTAATTAAAAAATATTAACATGTATTTTTAATTAGCTCAATATGAGAAAATAATATACTAATAATTGTCATATATCTAATTAGGATTCTGATTCCAGACAGTTTTAGTAATAATATTTACTACCAATTTTGTAATTTAATCTTACTTTTAATTTTTAATTTGATTAATTATTGAGTTCATATCAATGATTTGTCACTATTAATTACATAATTAAACAATTAAACGAGCATTTGAAATGAAATGGGAAAGTTGAACATGATCTTCTGGTTGAGTTCTTAGAAACTGCCTGAAATAACTAGGAAAAGAGAGATTGCTTTTGGATTTTGGAAAAAAAGGGAGAGAAGAAGTTTCATGCTGAATTTCAAGATACACTCTATTCAAATATAGTCTATGACCAATTTTATTTTCTTTTGCTAATTAGAAATCCCGTTCTATAATTAAAAAGAAAAAAATCTAAAATTATATTGTTTTAGTACAACAAATTGAGGGTACGATCGTATGGAAAAAAACAACCATGAATATTGTTAAGGATCCCATATTGAAAAGAGAGGAACCTAACATAGGTTAATAATAGATATGGATTACCCCTATCGTTGTCAATTGATTTTGAGATGGACCCATGAATATTAATATGGTATTAGAGCTCAAAACGCTCAAACGAGCAAGCGGTCCAAAAATGGGATCCGACCAAGATCGATGAGCCAAAAAAGAATCACGATCTTGCAATAAACGGAACCGCCGATCCGAAATGTGAGATATTGAATCAAAACGGGGCATAGAAAATGAAGAAGATGGAGGAGAAGGAAATGGGAAGAACAGTGAGATGGGCAACTTTGTATATTCGTGGAAATATTGAGCTCTTGGATGAGGAGTAAACTTTGGACTTTCACAGGAATAAGATGCTTAGGTTGACTAACACATAAAAGAATTGATAGAAATGTTGACGTTGACGAAAATTTAATATTAATATTGTTTTAATATGTATTTTATATATATTTTTTATTATAAATCATATTTGACTTTTATGTTGAAGGCAATAAGCTAGTTTGTATATTAATTAGATTACATTTATACCTACTTTGTACAACTGGTGGTAGAACAACCTCGTTTAACCACTTGTTCGTATACGAACACACATCATTAACATGATTGATGATTATTTCTTAAAATTTTAAAATTATGAAATCAAACTAGACATTTTAAATAATTATGAACTAAACAGAATAACTTTGAAAGTTTGAGGATTAAAATGTATATTTTGAAAAAGAAAGATATTTATGCGTCATCGAGCAGATTTTTTACTAGTTATCATTAATTTTTTTTTTATAAATAGATATATATTATTATTTTGTTCTTTAAAAATTGCCAAATTTTTATGGTAGTGAAGTCTACGCATGTATTCTCTCTAGAATCAAGAAGAACCTCGCAAAACAGGCGGTTGTTAATGGGCAGTTAAGAGAGAACGGTTATAGAGTAAGGCTATAAAACATAAAACCCAACATTTGTTTTGACCTCACAAAACCATATTCCCTCTGCACACATGCTAAGCCAATTTTACACAATTAGTTCTTAGATAGGGGGAAAAGATGAATTTGGTTTGTTTGTCACTGTCGGTGATGTTGTTTCTTGCGGCGGGTGTGTCCGTCTTGGCTAACGACATGTGCACGAAAGCAGAGCACGTGGCGTTGTGCCGGTCCATGGTGGGGGGAGCGAGCGATCCAGTAGCAGCGACAAAGGCAGGGCTTGAGAAGCTGATAATGGAAACGAAACGTGCAATGGAAGCGAGCGTGAAATCAGGGGGAAAGGGACCTCTAGAGGTGTGCAAAGAGACATACGGCTACGCGATTGGCGACCTGGAGACAGGGTTGGAGTATCTAAAGAGTAACGACAAAGGCAGCCTGGGCGGGGAGATGTCCTCGACTATGACATACTACACCACTTGCGACGACGCCATCAAAGAAAGCGGCACCTCTGAGGAAGCTACGGGCATTTTGAAAGCCGATTCCACGCTCCTTCATATGGCTAGCACTTGTATGTACCTAGCCAGTTTGAATACTTAGGATTCCAACAAACTCCCTTGTTAATTAGGGAAGGGATTGGTCGTGAGGATAATTATTCACTAGTATGAGATCAAGGTCTAATATGCCAAAAACAGACAATATTATACCATCAATGATACTTGGGTACCGTTATCTTGACAAATTTCATTTAGCAAATTATTGCACTTTTAAGGAAATTCTGCTGCATCGAGGCAGAAGCTCCTGTGCATCGGGGCGACGACAGTGAAGGAGTATAGAAAATATGTGGAGAAGGATGCGGCGTCGGCGAGGAGATTTAAGGAAATTCACGTGGTGGAGCCCACCGTGGAGGATTCCGTTGGAATCCATGGAGCGCTGAAACGGCGTTACGAAAGACATCACGACGTCCAGATTCGGGACTGCTCTCATTGCTGCCGCCGTTCTCTCCCACCGCTACATCACAGGTACAATATCTCCAATACCTATTTTTATTCCGCCTTTTATGCATGGTTCTAAATATCACACGTGGACATTTCCAGACATATCAAGTAAATCTACATTTCTATCATAGTACAAGACGAAAAAATATTAAAAATATTTGTCACTAATATATATATATATATATATATAATATTAATATTAATTATTTTTAATTAATTTAGAAATAGAAAATTGATTGTTTTGTCAATTTAAATATTTTTTACGATTTTTTAATTTTTGACCTCGACATTTTATGGATATTTCCATGAAATTGACACCTCCACATTTCCATCAACACCCATCATTTTAGTTGCCTATCTCTTATCATTTCACTCTTATACTTATATCACCAACTTACTTACGGGCAACCGTCTGACTTTACCTAACATGAAATTACTAATTTCTAAGTGGCAAACAAGATATTGATTGAAACTAACCGGTATCGTAGAAAAGATTATATAATTTTTTTAAAGATTTTTAATATTTATTAATAAATGATCTACTACCCTGTTTCTTTTTTATTTCTTCCTTTTTTTAATAGTACAGAAATCAGTTAACCTATAATTATTTTTATAAGTAAACGATCCAGGACAATTTTTTTAGTAAGTCAAGTACTCCAATTATGTGATATATTATCCGGTTTAGACATAATTCTTTGCAAATAAACAATGTTTCGATTTAACCAAATTTACAATCAACTAATTAGGTAAATTGTTTTGAATATACCACAATCAATTAATATTGTTTGTTTTTTTTTTTTTTTAAGTTTGGATTGATTTGAAATTGCTATAATTTAAAAATAAGAAGATTCATCACCACCCTTGCAACTCCTTAATTTATCTCATTTTCACAAACCCGTTTGTTCAGTAATATTGATGATCAGCTCCGTCAGGTTTTCACTCTCAAACTAAGAGAGCATATAACACACCAATAAGATTTGAGGATGTTAAAATTGAATGTGATAGGTATAGTTTTTATTATCTCATCAATTAAATTGTTTCTTATTGGAATAAAATCAAAGCCGAGTATATGAACGTCCCCAACACATGTTTGTCAAATTAAAAAAATGCTCGTCATGAAAAGATAGACATAATAAGAGAAATTATGGCACGACTGTCACACAATAATTGAAAATAAACAAATAAAAAGCAAACAAATGTGATACCAATTAAACATTACTGCATGGAATTTGGCTAAAGTTCAAGATATCTTGTTATATGGTAAAAAGAACCCATACTTTTAAGTTAATGGTTACTTGGTATAACTCAAGACAAAAATTAAATGGTCAAATAGTCTAACAAGTTAAATATATATTTTTGATTCTCATCTCCACGTGTATCGTTGAACTAAAAAAACGAAAATAAAAAGAAAATTGTTGAGGAAGAAATGTGAGCAGGCGATGTGTGAGTGTTAGGAAACACAACAATACGTGGGACCATATGCAGTTAGTAACGTAAAGCTACGAACTCATACGAGCTCATCACCACTGGAGTTGTACGGGAAGCATGTTGCAGGATATAGTTTGCGCCCTGCAGTGGGGGGAGGACAAACTGGCAAGGAGAGGTACCACCCACGTGTCAAGAATGTTCATCCTCATTGGTCAGACACCGTACAACGAGACGCGTCCCTGCACCTAAAATCGTTGTCCTTCTTGGTCGACCACATCGATATCGAGTTTTCTAATTGCAAGTTCATTTGCTTTGGGGACGCCCAGTCCCGAGAGGACATGTGGACCTCTCCAAAACTCGCCATCAACAAAAATAAAAAGACAAATGTAATACCAAATAAACAATTTTTTATGAATATAAATTCGTTCAAGATATCTCTTTTTTAAGTGCAAAGAAAACAAATAGTTTTTAAGAATATTCAATTAAATATAAAATTGCAAAAACTACCCAAGATGTCAATTTCAATTGTTTCAAATATAATTATTTTATCAATTTTGACAAAGAAAAAAAAAAGTGGACGTTAGAAAGTCGTAACGGCTATATTTTGTTTGAACTTCAAAACTATCATTACGATTTTTGCACTTCCCATTTCCCCAATTTCAACGGGTCTTCTTCTTCACTCTAGCTCTCCGTGATTCCTCGTCTTTCCTAAATTACCTTTCTTCTCTCTCCACAATCGTGTTCAGAAATCCGATCTTGGTGTTCCTCGATTACGCCCTGGTAATCTCCTAATCAATCTTGAAAAATTTTCCCGGAAAATTTCCATTTTCTTGCCCTAGAACTATCAGTTTTCAGACAGAAGCTTTGAGATACTATTCTGCAGATCCGACTATGGCTCCAACGCCTTCGTCGAAATCGAATCAAGGTCACACGAGCCTATTGAGAACTCCTCAAGCGAAGCGGCTCAATTTCCATCAACCTAGGGCACAATCTTCCCCTTTCCCCAATTCCGCCACTAAAGACTCCCAATCGGAGCACCCAGTTGAAGTAATCGGCCGGATCCGCGACTATCCGGACCGGAAAGAAAAACCGGTGTCGATTCTGCAGATAAATCCCGACGGCCAGAGCGTTCGGGTCCGGGCCGATTTCGGGTACCGCGATTTCAGCCTCGACGGGATTTCTCTGTCGGAGGAAGAAGATCTCGACGCTTTTTACAAGAAATTTGTGGAAGCGAGGATTCATGGAGTTAAATTGGGGGAGAAATGTACGGTTATGATGTACGGACCGACCGGCGCCGGCAAGAGCCACACCATGTTTGGCTGCGCGAAGCAGCAGGGGATTGTGTATCGGTCGCTGAAGGACATTTTGGGGGACGGAGGAGACGGCGGAAATGAAGCCGCCGCCGCCGCCGCCGGAATGTTTGTACAAGTTACAGTTCTGGAGATTTACAATGAAGAGATATATGATCTTCTCTCGAGTAATTCTGGTGGAGGGCTGGGTCTCGGCTGGCCTAAGGGCAGTTCCTCTAAGGTAATATTATCAAAATCCCCAAAACCCTAAATCTTGAACTTTTGGTGAAAATAACATTCTGGTCCTGTAATTTGTGACTTATTGTATAGTCCCTAGATTCTTAACTGTCCAAATACAGTCGTATGTTTTCAATGAATCTGGTAAATTTCATTTGATTTCATTGTAGAAATGTCAGAATGTGAATATGTTCTATTTTTAAGATCTTTTAAAAGTAAGATCTTAATAATAGAGAGTTTGCTTTCATATATAGCTGAGAAAATGGGGTCTATTTTGTTTTTTTGGACTGTGTTTTCTTATGGGATTGGAAGTTTGAAGCAATTTGGTTGTTGCAGGTGAAGCTTGAAGTGATGGGGAAGAAGGCAAAGAATGCTACTTATCTATCTGGGAATGAAGCAGGAAAGATTTCCAAAGAGATTCAGAAAGTGGAAAAAAGAAGGATTGTTAAAAGTACACTCTGTAATGAGAGAAGTTCTAGAAGCCATTGCATGGTATGTTTGAAAGTTTTGAGAACTGTCTCCTTGATCTAGATGATGAACTTTTCATAATTTTTATGATCTTTTGGTTTATTCACAGATAATCCTCGATGTGCCAACGGTCGGCGGACGTCTCATGCTAGTCGATATGGCTGGTTCTGAAAATATAGAGCAAGCTGGGCAAGTTGGATTTGAGGCAAAAATGCAGGTGAAGACTGTTTTTTTTATTTTTTTATAGCAGTTGTTTTTTTACCCATTTTTTTGGTGTGGTATTTAGGACTAAATATTTGCTTCCAATCACAGACAGCAAAAATTAACCAAGGTAACATTGCCCTGAAAAGAGTGGTTGAATCAATTGCTAATGGTGATTCTCATGTGCCTTTCAGAGACAGTAAATTGACTATGCTTCTGCAGGTATCTTTATTCTTCACCTCAGTAAAAATATTTGGCGGTTTTGAAATTTTTGCTGGTTTAGCTCAGATTGTGATTATTATATTGGCTTTGATTGATCCTATCCTTCTATCCAGGATTCTTTTGAGGATGATAAATCGAAAATTCTTATGATTCTGTGTGCCAGTCCTGATCCTAAGGAATTACACAAGACAATCTCCACTCTCGAATATGGTGCGAAAGCCAAATGCATCGTCCGTGGTCCACATACGCCAACTAAGGATAAACTCGGCGGTGATGATTCTGCTTCTGCAGTTATTCTAGGGTCTAGAATTGCGGCAATGGATGATTTCATCTTCAAGTTACAAAAGGAGAACAAACTCAGAGAGAAAGAGCGAAATGAGGCACATAGAGAGCTGATGAAGAAAGAAGAAGAAGTATCAGAATTGAGAGCTAAGCTCGAGCTAGCAGGGTTGAGAGGATCGGGGGTGAGTGAGGAAGAAATCAATTCAAAGGTGAATGAGAGAACCCAACTTCTGAAACTTGAGTTGGAGCGGAAGCTCGAGGAGTGCCAGAGAATGGCCAATGAGTTTGTCGAAATGGAAAGGAGAAGGATGGAAGAGAGGGTGCTGCAGCAGCAACAGGAAGTCGAAATGTTGAGACGGCGTTTGGAAGAGATCGAATCCGAGCTACTTAATTCGAGGGATGCAAGTAGCAATGATGTGAACAAATCAAGGGACATGGATGGCTGCAGGCTTGCCAAAAGGCTCTTAGGAGGAGTTTATGCTAGTACAGATGCAGGGATGGTCAAGTCTATGGACTTAGACATGGACGATCAAGAACCGATTCGCGAAGTGAAACTCGTTGGTGGCGTGGATAGCAGTGACATCCAAAGCCTGCTAGACAAAGTGAACGAGACGGTGGATCACGATGTGTTCTCATCACGATTTGGGGATGGGGATAGAGTATGCCTGAGCACCGTGTTCGAGGAAGAGGAAGCAGAGGACGAAGAGGAGAAGGAAGTTATAGAAGAAAAGAGAGTCTGTACAGTTGAAGGTCTTGCCCAAGTGACACCAAATGTTGTGAACAGAAGTCAGAACAAAGATGATTTTCTCAAGGATAGATCAGAGATCGGCATCGGATCGATAAATGACAACAAATGCTCCAAAGACACAGCATTCTCAAGAAAATTGAGAATTCAAAACATATTCACACTTTGTGGGAATCATAGAGAGCTTTCTCAACAAATCGCCCCAATGCCCGAGAATAATAGATTAGATGGTACTGAAAATCAGCTCCTATCTCCACTGAAGACAATTGGTGAGGTCCAGAAGAAGCCTTCTACACCAGATCACTACAGTCAAATTCTATCAGACCTAACGGTAATAACATTTTCCAGTTTCGAAACTTTTTCGTTTCCTTCGTAACAACCAATCACGATTCATTTTCGTTCACGTTTCAGAACAAGAATGGAGCAGCATTAACAGAGAATGAAGAGACAGTGTTGCAGCCTATAAAGACACCAGTGAAGGGAGTAGTAAACAGCCCAGGAGGAACTCTACCATTGAGTCCAATCCCATTGTGCTCAAAGGAGAACAAGCTACCCGTCACGCCAAACAACATATTGCAGCAAAGCGATGGCCTATCGCCGAGGCTCGGTGCCACGCCGTTCATCACTGTAAGAAGACACTAATGGGGAAGATGAGGGAGATACATGTTGGGGAAACTTCCTTTTGCATTTTGCAGTGGCTGATGAATATATAGAGATTAATATACTCTTGGTTTGGACTTTGAAGTTGTTAATAGTGATTCATTCAATCTTCATCAATGTATTCAATCACATCTTATACTTTGTTAAATATGATATTGTTGCTCTTCCTTCTCCTTGTTCTTCTTGTGGGTGCAAATAAGTTCTTTGGTTATTTATTGCTACCAGGAGAAAACAGAAGCCTATTTGAAAACTATTTTTAATTGGCTAAAACATTTTTCACCATTCCACAATAAACGGATATTATGATTTATTTTGCTTACATCCTAAAAAAACGTTTATTTTGTTTACCATTTTTTCCATGGCGACAAGGAACATGTTAATAAAAAATTTCGCTTCAAATTCTGGCTTTCTTTCCTTTAATAGTAAGGCGGAACATGTTAATAAAAAATTTCGCTTCGAATTCTGGCTTTCTTTCCTTTAATATTAAGGCGGTGCGTAACATTTGCAGAGTCACAACAATTAAAATCAATCTAGAGATGAAATTTATTTAAGGGGCGGTTGCAAATATGACAAAAATATTTAGTAAAATTAGTAAAATAACAACCATATTTAGTTTTTTAAAATATAACATTTAAAAAAATGGATGTCCAATTTTAAAAGGACAACTTTACCCAAATGAAATACATCTGTAATATATCTATAATATATATTACTATTGATACATGTATATGATATACATTTGATATACTACTAATATGAATGTCTGATATACATATGTATGTGACATACATTTGATACATTACTGATATGCCAGTCCCAATACCTATATTAGGTGGATCATGATGCAGAAACGGAGGCCCGAAATTGTGGGAATATTTCTTTGGCCCCTCTTTCGAAATACGTTACTCCATGAGCCCCGTAAGGAAAGGAGTACTTTGTCATTCCTCGATTCTCGGCACCATCGGGTCTGCTTCTTCCCAAACATCATCGTTATCTCAGSTCTCGCCATTTCAACCCATATCTAATGTAGCCCACAGCTCGCCCCAAATCCTACTTTGATATATTATATCAGTGAAAATTTTTGTTATATTTGAAAATTTTAAGAAATAGGTAAAAATACATAAAAAAATTTTGCTATCGTGCAATTTTTTCTTTATTTAAATTAGAGGTAAAATTTTTAAAAAATATAAAAATACATGTGAGGATTATTTATGACGTGGAGCAAATACCAAATCTTGTTTTTTTTTTCAACTAAAAGAAATTATATAATAATTGACCTTAAAATGAATATTTAAATGTATTATATATATGTAACCTTACAATAACAACGGATCCGTGGCGCAATGGTAGCGCGTCTGACTCCAGATCAGAAGGTTGCGTGTTCGATTCACGTCGGGTTCATATTCATATTTTTTCTGTTTTAAATCATGATATTCCTTTTTTTTTTTAATAAAGAAATTCTCGTGCTCTGCTATGTAAAAGTTGGGCCGACTAAGGCCTCGTAACATTGTCCTCGATTTGCGCCTTAAACTTAATTTCAAGGCCCAACGTATGGTAATCCAAATTGGGTCTCAGACTCAGCGGCCCAAATAATTTCAGAGCCCTAGACGGACGCTCTTATAAAAGGCAGTTGGACACAACTATTTCCTCTCCCTTCCATCGCGCCGCTGCTCTCAACACTCGCACACACGCCAAACTCCACAAGCCGCGAGAATGGTGAGATTCTCTCTGTAATTCGCAAGTTTTCCTCTCTTCTCTTAACTTTACTTTCCTTTCAGTTGGTTTAATCTTGCTCATTTTGGTGTTTTGGTTGTGATTCTTTAGCCGTTCAAGAGGTATATCGAGATCGGGAGGGTGGCTCTCATCAATTACGGTGAAGATTACGGAAAGCTTGTAGTCATCGTTGATGTCATTGATCAGAACAGAGTAAGATTTTGCGTTTTGTAGTCAACCTTTTGTTTATTGCATTTCAAATCAGTTTTTGCTAGTTCTATTCTGCTGGTTTTTAGATAGTGAGGAGGAAGAAGAGGTTTTAGTTTTCCCTTTTTTTTGTTTGATAAGTAGATGGAACAGCAGTTAGTTACACCATTGATTCTGTGGAAACTACTACTTATATGCGGAAATTGTTTCATTTTACTCATTGCTTAGGGTTTGGTTTGGACACAGTTAATGACGCCATCGATTATGTGGCTTATGTGTGATTCGGTCCTAGGATTTAATCTTTGAATCTTTGAAATTTTACAAGTTTGATTTTCTTAAGAATTTGACGGATTTACACAATATGTGAGTAAGAAACATATGGCACCGCTGATTATCATTTCAGGGAGTTATGTGTGGAACTTCATGTTTGTTGCTTATGTCCAGAAGTATTAATTTTCTATTCTCAATAATTTTGCAACCAGATAATTTTTTTCTCTCAACTATAGTTGTTTCTCTGGATTTAGTTAAATCATTTGCATGACTAGCTAGATTGTATGTTTGGACAGGCTCTGGTTGATGCCCCTGATATGGAGAGATCTCAAATGAATTTCAAGAGGCTCTCCCTAACTGATATCAAAATTGATATCAAGAGAGTCCCAAAGAAGAAGGAGCTGATTGAAGCCATGAAAGTTGGGGGTATGTAGCAATTCCTCATGATTGTGTACTTGTAATTTTTTTTTCCTTGTGCATAATTGTTTTTCTATCCAATCAGATGTTCAGAAGAAATGGGAGAATAGCTCTTGGGGCAGAAAACTGATTGTTAGGAAGAGAAGAGCATCGCTCAATGACTTCGACAGGTTCAAGCTTATGTTGGCTAAGATTAAGGTACACGCCCTTTCACTTTTCCATGCAGCACTTTTTATTTGTCAATGTCAGTTATCATATTTGAATCTATGAATTTATATTTATGCAGAGGGCTGGATTGGTTAGGCAAGAGCTTGCAAAGCTGAAGAAGGCTGAATCTTAGAGGTTCATTTTTTCAACGGATTTTCCCATTTTGCTGTCCTTTTAACTTCTATAGGGTGGTTGATTCTATAGTTCCAAACTTTTTGTAGCAGTATTTTCTCAAGTCATTGTGTTCAACTTCTATTTTTAATCTTATTATGCTGATTTCTTATTTGGATATCAATTGCCAACTTTATCACCTTCTATGTAAAAGGTCATTGTGTTAATTGGTTTTTCATACTTATTGCATGAGAGTTTCAAATGAAAGGCGAGGTTTTGAGTTATTCTTCTTCAGGATGATAGATTTTGAGGTGATATTTGGTCAGTAGTATAGTTTTTATATCTACATATAAATCAATGGGGCTAATTCGGTGTTTCATTTGAAGATTAGAATCTCTATTTGATTAGATGGCTTATTTGCTTACAAATTATATAATGATTTCATTTAACTGTTGTACATTTTGAATTAGACTAAATTATTAGATATTAAAGTTTATAGATTAAATCATTATAAAATTTGTACTATAGGAACAAGATTGTTATTTAATATATATTCAAAAGTGTCTTTCTAGCCATGGAATTATTTTGCCATATGTTTTTTCCATGCGTTTTTTAATTTCATTATTGAACAAGTGTATATATTTATTTATATCCATAGTTGGGAGATTTTTAGACTCAACTTTATTGTTGAGTTTGCGCAACTTTGTTCAAATTAAAATGATCTTAGATGTATGGTTGATTCATACTTTCCCCTTTTAGAGAATATTCATGCTATTTGATGAATCCTGAAATATTTGATTTGATTCTTTTTCCATGTAATTTGATTGGTTTAGATTGTTTCAGTTATTTATTCAAAATATCTAGTATTTATTTAAATGAAAATTTTAATTCTACATTATATTCTATGTTACAATTTTTTTCCTTCGTGCCGTGGTCAGTTGGGAAGATAGCAGCATGCTTCTCGATATTCCTAAAACAGAATTCATGTTCCAACCTCTTCAATCTCAAAATTTAGTCAAATAATTAAATGATCAATTTGACAACCCTTTCATTCAAATAAGTGTTTTCTCATGGGATGTTAATTCTCCCAAGACTTTGAAATTCTTATTCACGTCCACTACGATCAACTTTTGAAAATTTTGTTCAAAAACATAAGTACAAATATGACTTTCTTTGAAAAAAAGAATAATAATAATAATTACGGATAATATTTTTCTAAATAAATTTATTAAGTATTGCTTTACTAGATGATAAGAATCACTTATTTTTATATTAATTAATTATAATAAATTATTGTCACGGTTTGCTTTTCCTTCAATATTTGCAATATCATTTTTTCTGTTATTTTTTTCACATATTAAACTTTAATTTTGTTAGATCTAGACTCCTGGGTAAAGTAAACTTTACTATTTGTCTCTTCTTACGTAGTAATTTCCATTTTAAATGAAGAAAAAAACAAACGAACAAACAATTTAAAGAACAAAAAAATCCAAAATTTCTCACATTGGGAATAAAATGTCTGTTTTGTTTTCTCAGTTAGTTTATGCCGTTATTAGTCCAATCAAAATATTAATAAAGTTATAACGGTTCGCTTGGCTTTCTCTCTCCATTCTCGTCTTCCTCCTTTTATAATGAAATTGAACAAAAAAAAAATTTATAATAGAAATAATGTGTTTTAAAATGCTTTAGAATCTTGACTATAACTGAAAAGAAATTCTCAAAAAATTAAAAAATATTTAGAAGTAATTTGATAAATTCAAATATTTAAAAAAGGTTAATGTAAATAGCAAAGTACTTAGAAAGACATAGCTTAAGTTATAAAACAACTCTATTCTAATTAAGATAAATGCAAAAGTATTGAAAATTAAAATTAGCCAAAAAAAATGCAAATATTCCTAAAAAAATAATAATAAGAGAGAGAGAGAGAGAGAGAGAGAGAGGAAAATGCAAATGTTTCTGTTTCAATTAGCGAGTTTGTAGGCAAAAAAACTCAATTCTGTTTGCTTTGCATTCTCCTTTCTTCAAAGTTTTACCTGACTGAACTGAAAATATTAAAGCTGAAACAGAATAGACCGTTACTCCACACTAATTCTTTTCATTTTGTTTTTAACTGATAATAAAAATCTAATAAATAATTATCCTGCCAATTCATTCAACCTAAAAATGGAGCCTAAGATAGAGATTCCCTCTCTCTCTATTTCTTTCTACAAAATCTCATTTCTCAATTAGACTTCTTAACGACTTCAAAACACTCCCCACTAATTACCAAAAATTATTTTCCCCCAAAGAAAATCCAAAAGCCTTTGACTGATAAATCCCAGGAAAATCTCTGGTTTTTCCTTTCAATACCACCAAACCCATCTGAATATTTCTTGTGTTCATCGAGGGCTCTCATTTCTTCAGAATTTCAAAAAATGGGTATCGCAGATCTTCGTCTCAAGCTCAAGGTAAGCCCCGTAAGTTTCATTTTTTTTTTGTTTTTCTCGAATCTGATTGATGGGTTTTTTTCCTAGTACTGTTCATTGCATTTTCCCCCCTTTTTTCTCGGAAATCGTATTGGGTGCGATTGAAAACCGCCATTCTTCGAAAATGGGCCACCGGAAAATGTTGATTTGGGTGTAATTTTTTGAAGGCGTTTCGATTGGGAAGGTTTCTGACGAGGAAGAAGAGGCGGCCGTCGGCGGTGAATATGCCGTCGTGGATGGCGCCGGTAAACCACGGCTACCACGTCATCGACGATCAGTCGTATTCGAGTATTTTGGAAGAAGAATCGAATTACGACTCTGTTGTGGTGCAGAGAGAGCAGATTGAAGGGATTGAATTGTGGTTTTTTGGGGTTTTTGATCCTCAAATTGGCGACAAAGTCCTCAAATTCATGCAATCAAATTTCTTTGACAAGAAGTTTAATGAGGTAAATTTCCAGATTCCTTCCATCGTTGAGCACTGTTTTTTTTCTTTTACAACTTTTCTTGCTTGCCAAACAAAGTTTTGAAAATTAGCTTTTACATGGTTGTTCGGCTATTTTGTATTTAAAATCATCCTATTTGATTTTGTGATTTTGAAATGAAGAATCAACTCTTGAGGGCTATTTTTTTTCTCTCTGTTAAGGTTATTTTGTGTTTATATTCCATGAAGAATCAATTTGATTGCTTAGCTTGTAAAAGTTAAGGTTATTTTGTATTTGAAATATGTTGAAACTAAGAATATCTCAACTTTTCGAAGCTAGCTAGCGTTTCACAATTGTTGTTTATTATATGAGAATGCGTGATTTTGAAATGGTCAATGATTTGTAAAAGTTAAGGTTGTTTTGAATTCGAAATAATTGAGTCACTAGTATGTGATTTCGGGGCGAAATGAAGACGGGAATGTTATAATTTGCAGTCTCAGGTAAAAGCGAAGGGGAGGGAAGCAATGAAGAAAGCACATCTGAGTGCAAGAACAAAGGAAAACAAGGAGTTGTGGAAGAAAATGGGATCAGCTTCGGCTTTGGTAATAGATGGAGAGAGGCTGGTGATTGCTAGCATGGGGGACTATAAAGCCGTTTTGTGTGAAGATGGTATTGCTCATCAAATAAGCTGCGATCGACATCAAACCGACCAACGTTGGCCTCGTAAACTAATACCTGGTAATCTGTCTTGCAAACCCGACAACAAAAAACCAAAAAACCCTAAAACCATATCGATTGTGATATAAGATTAAGGAAACGATCAAATTCTATTCATGTACTGTCTAAGGTAAACAATATCATATCGTTGAATTCTTTCTCAGGAATGAAGCCTCGAAAAAGCTTGGTTGCAGTTGAAAAAATCAAATTCAACTCTGAAACCGAATTTGTGATTTTAGGGAGCTGTGGCATATGGGAGGTAAGATATTTTTTTTTTTTTTTAATAAACTCCAAGAATTTTTACATCTTCTGCTTCAACAGATCTGGATTCCCAATAAATATATCAAGACCCACTTTTGAAAGCAAAATCATATTTTTTAAGCATCTGTTTTATCTATTTATTTATTAGTATCTTCAAATTTACTGCAATACACGTTCATTTTCAAAGCGCTTCCTTCAAATTCAAATATGGTTTTTTTTTTGTAATTTAAAAAAATTATAAATAAAATTGTTACCAAATCAACGTTCATAATGGAGCAACCACTATCTTTTCCAACTTTTTTAAGACAAGATTTCACCTCTACCATGAATGAGAAGCAATGAAATTCTCTTTGACTTGTAATAAGATTTGTTTATATATTATTTTCTTTTTCTATGATAATAGTTCAGACAATTTAAAATCAAATAGCATTAAATAGCATTATTCTCAATTTATAGATCACTTGAAAATAGTGGTGTTCACCTGTTCCCGCCCAATCCGGTAAACATCCCTATTTTCAACTAACCTATATATTGAAAATATGACTGCTAAATGGAGTAGGGCTCCTATTTCAATCCCATCTAACTTAGGTCACCTAAATGGAATTGAACAGGAACGGGAACGGGAACGTATTCTCCATCTCCGTCCTCATTTAGGTGATAGAGATAAAATGTCTTCTATTTTAGTGGAAAAAAATGAACACCCTAAATAAATAAAGTAGTGCACATAAAAGAACTTTTCCTATGCATACTCTTATTAGTTTTACAATTGAGATTTTCTTGTGGGCTTTTATATATATATATGATGTGAAATGATTTTTTTTTTTTTTTAAATGAAGGTGGTGAAGAATCAAGAGGCTGTCAATCTGATAAGACATATAGAAGACCCACATGCAGCAGCAGAGTGCTTGGCCAAGGAAGCTTTCAACAGAATGAGCAAAAGTAGCATTTCTTGTCTAGTCATTCGATTTGACTAATTTAATTCCTAATCCTTTTTTTCTCCGTCATCTACTTTCTTTCTAATCTGTTGACAAATTTGGGCTATAAAGGCTATGGTGTACATATGAGCCATATGATAATTTTTTTTTTTCTTTTCTGTAATAGTTTCTTGGGTTGAATTACATCTTTCATAAGTTCTCATCCAGAAACATTAAATTTTTGGAGAGGTTATTGCTTAATTTTTCTTCAGATGTTCTCAACATTCATTACTCATAACAGTTTCAATTTTTTTTCTTTGTTATTATAAGTCAGCCTAATTTTTTAAAATAAAAAGTCAAAGTCAAAATTGTTATTTTAAGCCCAAAAAGGTTGTACTATAAATATTATTTTCCCTTTATCCTTTTCTTCATATATTTGAAAAGCCAACTTTATTAAAAGAAGGCAATTTCCTTGAGAAAGGGAGATCTTACTAGTTGGATGGTCCTCTCCTTTGAAGGGCACCCTTTAAAATAAGCCCTACAAAGTAGGGGAGCCACTTAGAGCAACATAACAAGATCTTAATGTGAATGAAGTCAGTCACTCTAAATAAAACTTCTAGCATGGAAAGTGAAATGGTCACTTTTTGAAACTATATGCATAAAATAAATGGACAAAAATAAACAGGCAAGTGAAAATAAAGTTACCCCTAATCTGGAAGGATTAGTCACAATTTACAATCAATTACATATGTAGTAATCATATCTCAGTGTCCTCTAGGAGGCTGGGGATCAAGTTTTCATTATATTGTCTACTTTTACCCAATAAGAGAGAAATACTGCCATTTTCTCGTATTGCGAGTGAAATAAATGGATTGTCCACAATAATAGGTAGATGTGACCAAACTGAGCATAGCTCAATGAGAACATTAATTGATTTCCCACCTAGGTCAAAAGTTTGAATTCTCAAATAAATACTATATTCTTGATAWAAAAAAAAAAAAAAAAAGCTGGAAGTTATGAGGGCAAAAATAGATATCCTATAAAATGCAGCTGCTGCTTTAGAATTGATATTCTCAAATCTGAAATATCGCCTCCACTATAAGAGGATATTTGTGGGCAGCAGACAAGGATAATTGGTGGAATAAATCCACACAAATATTCTTATCTCGTCTGAATTCTCCTACTCTTGTAATAAAAATAAACAGCTACTAAATAACAGTAAGGCTGCGAAATCCATGATGATGATTGATTATCATATTCATGCCACCAGTGTCTTATTAGTGTTACCATAGCATAACAGTAGAAGTACCTATTATATCAGACTTGATGGCTGTCCCTCTGCTCGGCTATCAAACGAGCAAATTGGAGAATGACACAGCCCTCCAAGTCCCTCTTCTCTAACAACCATTTAGACAATAGAGGAAATAATAGGATGGCATCTGACCTTTTCCTGGAGATGTTCCTCCATTCCAAGTGGTCCTTTTTTTTTTTCCTGTCTGGTCATTACAGGCTGCAACCAGCTAAACAGTAGATCAAATGTTGCATAATTTGAAACTTGTTTTCATTTAATAAACCATAATGGATACTACTACTACAGGGAAATTCATCACTGAAACAAACATGTAAAAATATACAATAATGACCATGTTTACGATAATGTTACTGGAAAATTTTTTTATATAGCCACAGTAGGAAAAGAATAAAAAAACAAACCGTTGTATCCTCCTTCATAACCCAATCAGGCTTGCGCCACGCAAAAGACGAGCTTGTACTTGATGGTTCCACAACTTTACACACCTAACAGAACCACCAAATCGCGTCATGTAATCTTATCAGCTTCTCTTTTCACTATTCTTGCTTCGGAAAGGTGATAGCAGGGAAAATGCACGAGCTGTAGCAAGAACAAAAGATTCATTTGATCTTGAGATCATAATGGATCTTACAAGATGAAGAGAAGACAATAGGGGAAAAATAAGAAACATGTCAAATTTTTAGAAATGCTTACACTTCTGAGTTTTGCTGGCAGTGGGAGTTTCATCTTGAGAGATCAGATTTTTCAGTGTAGGGACTGATGGCAGCAAAACAAAAGGGGGGTAGTTAAAAGAATATAAGGTAAAGGGAGTAAGATATAAGGTAAGCTCACAAAACAAGGTCAACAGAGAAACACACATGAACTTTGCTCCAACCAATGAAACAGTTAAAAGAATCAGAGAGCAGATACTAGTAGTTATGTAGGGTGATATATTCTGACTTCTTGTGAGAGGTTCAGTTCTCAATATTTCTGTCTGATATGGAAATATATAAATGTGAACTATCACACTATGGTAAATGAGTTTCGCTTCATGATGAAATGTTGTCAACTATTATGACAATAAAAGAATGCTATTTCTGAAAAGTTAACATCATACATCAAAAAGTTCTTTTATTAAATTACAAGTTTAGTTCATGAACTTTCAAGATTGTGCTTAATAGATCCCTGGACTTTAAAAAATGTCTAATAATAACCCTAGCCTATCAATTTTGTGTCTGATAGATCCATAAAATTTTAAAACATGTCAAATAGATTAAAAATCTATTATACACTTTCAAACTTTAGGGACCTATTAGACACAACTTATTAGACACAACTTTGAAAGTTTAATTTAACCTTCATTTTTTAAAAAGGAATTATTGTTATCAGAAATATTGGCATATAACTGATATCTCAACATGTTCGATATGCTTCAGAAGTATCATTTCAAGCAATTAAAAAGTCATCTAATAGTAAGTTACCTTCATTAGAAGTGGTATTCGTCCCAACATCATTGGCTTCTGAACTATTTGCGCTGATATTATCTGATTCGTCACTATGCTCATCTGTAGCTGAGCTATGATTCTTTCTCCCAAACTTCAGTAATAGTCTAAGTCCTTTTGATGATTTTTTTACCTCAGGCTTCTCTAATGCTTCAGGAATCTTTTCCAATTGCACATTTCCATAATCCGAAACGTAAGCTTTGGTGGTATCGGTGCCGGATGCTGCTGCAGTCTCCAAATTTGATGGGGTTGCTTTTGCATACTCTGACACGCGAGTGCAAGGATCTTCAAAAGATGAAACACGAGCATGTGGAGCTTTATACGATTTTTCAGTCATACTCGGAGAAGAAAATTTTTGTGCTTCCTTATCTGCACTATCCACTGTCACCTGAACATTTGAGGTTTATATATAAGGCTGAATAGGACACTTGGCATCATTGTCCCAAATATAAACAACAAACAGAAAAAAAAAAAAAAAGACACTAGACCTTCCAGGATGGCAGGGTATCAATCAGTTAGTTAGATCAAAGAAAAGAATATAAAGATGCTTTTAAGTCACATAGAAATTAGGTCGAAGTGGAAAAATTATTGAATTTGGCTTGGCTACCCTCTAATAACCATTGGATGCAGTTTTATGCCTCCTAATATTAGATACAGACTCAAAATACTTTGTAATTTCTCTGTCACAGTATAAAGCAACTGGCACATTGTGGTGGCCTCCAACAATTATTCTTAAAACAGAGACAGGAAATACACACAAAAATAATCAAATGAATTCTTCTCGAATCACTGATTGGCTTGTTGAATATATACCAATAGTGTTTCTGCATTAATATTTACCCAACGCATCAGCAATAGGCATGGTCTTCAATTTCTTCTTGTTTTTCCTTTTCTGCCTTTTTCTTTTTTGGGCACTGTCATGTGATAATAGTAATGACCATGAAAATTAATAAGTTAAATTACAAATTTAGACCCTAAATATATACTTTAAAAAATGTCTAACAAGTCCTGAACTTTCAATTTTATGTCTAATAAGAACTAAACTTTGAAATGGTCTAATAGGTCATTCGACTTCAATTTTTTTGTCTAATAGATCATTCCTCAAATTCATGGAGCCATTAAACACAAATTGAAAGATTGGTATCCTATTGGACAGAAAATTCAATTTTGCATCTAATTAGTTAGTATTTTTAAATTTTTCAAAAAGATCACAGGCCTAATAGATACAGAGTTGAAAATTCAAAAGACTTGTTAGACACTTTTCAAGTTTAGTGACCTATTGGACACAAGATTTAAAGTACAAAAACTTGCTAGACACTTTCTAGAGTTACGGTACCTATTAAAAGTTCATGGTCAAACCTTTAAATTTAAGCAAAATAATAATCGTAAATGATCTCCATAGTTACTATTATTTTGCTTTGAAATATTGAATGAAACTAGAGAAAGAGAGATGTGCAGCTTCAATTTGCTGCATTCCATCTACTATCAATGCCAATGAGTATTATATTTTAAGAGTTCAACTTGTGCTGTAAGCATCATACAGTTCAAAGAATTCTCTGATAAAACTTTCTACATCTTAGGTAGCAGTCAATCATACCTCATGAGAATGCAACTGACCGTGTGATTGGTGTTTGATGGGTTCTCTATCGAGATTGGACACTCTAATTTGCGAATTCGGAGCATCAGTGGCCAAAAAATTGGATGGGACATCGGTTTTTCCCTCCATTTTATGCTTGCTATATGTCCTTCGATCGTAAAGATTGTCTTCGGAAGCAAGATCTGTATGGATGGAGGTCTTCCCACATTCTAGCATAACAACAGTCTTCTCAACAACAGGGTTGTCATCCACTTCATTATTATGTGAGTCTTTGACATTGTTTCTTCCATTGGAAGCGCCTGCAGAAGCTGTAGTACCAGGTCCCTTAGGTGTTCTAATTTTAAGTTCTGGAAGAGTTTCAGCCTTGCTCTTATCCAAATTCATTATGGCAGATATCTTTTTTTTGCTGTCCGACTCATTGGTTATTTTTGCCTTTGAAGCTAGCTCGACACTCCGTGTCCTGACAGAAGAAGCGTGATTGCTGGTACTCATTTTTGGCTCCGATAATCTTCTAATTCGAGCCATGGATACTTTTTTGTCACTTGTAGAATCGCTGCTCTCTTTCTTTAGTTTAGCCAATGAAGGTACAGATTGACTCAAGCGGTTTCCAGCCGAGTGACTTCCACCATTCAACCTGCTGGGTTTTGCAGCTTTGTTGGAATCATTGGAACCAATGGAAGGTGTTCTGATGGGAAACCTTTGCAGAGGAGACGATGGTCCTGGATCAGAATCGCTAAATTTTGATCCCTTCTGAGAGTTGGGTGACATTTTTGTTGGCAGTTGCTTTCTAATTGGCTGAGAGGGCAATGATGACTGAGCAGTGATACTATTGCCCCTAGCTGCAATTCTCTTCTGCCTCTCTAGCTTCAGAGTTTCTATTCTTTTTATTGCTTCGTCCTCCTGGATAGAAAAGGATCAAGAAAATTTAAGAACAAGTCATAAATTATCCTGGACAGCACATAAAAAAATTTTGCAAGCCAGTTCAATCTGGGAGTCATGCCTAGCAAGAAAAATAATATACATAGCAGGATAAATAGTAGCCATGTCACTTAATCCCATCTGATAACGAGCTTGTTTTTAGATTTATGTTTTAAAAAATTATGCTTCTTCATAATTTCTACAATTTTTATTGTATGTCTTTCACCTTTGTTAAAAATGTGTTTGAGTTCTCAGCAAAATTTCAAAAGCAAAACAAAGTTTTTTAAAAACTATTTTTCTTTTTAGTTTTTAAAATTTGGCACGTTTTCTAAAAGTAGATAGGGAAAAAAAACACATTGGCGAAACTAAATAGTTATCCGATGGGACCTTACTACCCACTTAACATGTGATTGTGAAGCTGAGCATTTTGAACACAATACCTTCTCCTTTTTCAATTTCTGGAGATCGGCTTTATATGTTCTTAGCTTCTCGGCACGTGCTCGTGCTTCATCTAAAGGACTCAACTTAGAAGGCTTTCCCTTCCTTATTGGCCCCCCAGTTTTTCTATCAGGAGTAATTTTCGATTTTTGATCCTTGTTCAACTTTTTAGCCCCTTTCCTAACATCGGTTACCGCTTCCTTCTTTTTGTCCACAACGGCTACACGTCCAGAACGGACTGGCATTTCATATTCTAAAGCAGGATCATAACCAGCAGCAGGTTCACTTTCTGTTTCACGCTTTGGCATCAGATTCAGTACATCTGGCTCATAGGTAACAGCTCTATTGGACGTGTTTTCTGCATTATGAAACGAAGATGGAAACTCAGAGTCCATGTCCACAGCACTTCTGCCTTCCTTTCCAATTGCATCCATTGATATCGATCGCAATTGAACTATGTAAGAATCACCATCCAAATTATTTGAGTAACTTTTATCGAAGCTTTTTGTTCCATTATCAAAGCTATTTACAGCTAATGGATCCAAATGGGCATTCGAGTGACTATTATGACTTTTTTGTCCATAGACCATAAAATCATCACTGCTGGGCCTTCTGTAGCCATGTCTTCCTCCATCTAGTTCTGTAGCCTGCACATTCGCACGCCCGTCCCCACCAGAAAGACTATCTTTTCTAGAAGTTAATAACTCGTCATTTGATGCCCTTGATACGCGGTTGATTCTTCCACCAACTCTATCAATGTCCGTAGCACCATTTTCTTGGATTTCATATCCATCCCGTCCTTGACCAATTAATGGATCATCACCAACTTTATTTTGTCGTCTTTTCTGCTTGGTTTCCCTTTCCATGGTAAACATACTTTGATCGGCATGATGTTTGTCGTCATCGGCATCTCGAAGTAAAAGGTTTTGGAATGCCTGCCAATGTCCATCTGCTTCTGGGGATACCGTTTTTGCGGGAGTGTTTGATTGATCCCCAAAACTTAGATGCTTTCCTTTGCTCTTCGAGGATCTAGTAGATTTCGTGTGTTTAATTTCCGGACTAATAACCTGTGAATCTCCATCTTCCCCACTTTCGCTTCCGGATGGTGAATCCGTCTCACTGCCGGATGAGTTATGCCTCTTTGATGCAATGTAGTTGATGTTGCGGATGACAACCACACCTGATTTCTTTTTACTTAATCGGCCAGCTTTTCTCAAATCTTCTGAAGCTTCTTTCTCCGACTCTGAATCATCAGGTGTTCCTGTTTCCAGTTCAATGATGTTATCTCCACCATCCATGGAATGCTTTTTGCCTCCCATTTTTTTCCCGTCACCAACTCTAGAATTCTCTGGTACTGGATAATGTGGATGAAAGAAAGGGCTACCTCCTGCATAGTTCTGATAGTAAGGCATTCCTTGCATGGGGTACCCTTGAAAGACAGGTAATGCACCTGGAGGAGAATTCATGGGCCATGGAGGATACACATGATGAGGATACTGCCCTTGAATATACTCTTGATGGCCTGGTGGTGACTGGTATATCATAGGTGGATTTCCATCTGGGCAAATGAGTGGACAAAAAATATTTTAACCCAGAATTGAAAGGAGTACAACGAGCAGCATTTTATAAGGCACGTGCAGGATATCTAGTGTTTGTTGGTGCAAAGATTTGATACATAACCAAGATACTGTAAGCTAAACCTTAATTACTATGGCCCTGTTTAGTAAAATTCTGTTCTTTGTTTTCTCATTTTGAAAATTAATGTTATAAACATTACTTCCACTCTCTAAAAAGATTTTCAAAATCCAAGCCAAATTTTGGAAACTCGAAAAAAATTTGACAGCTTTCTTTTGTTTCTCTAAATTTTGATAAAACTTCAAATATATTTTCAGTAAGTGTCAAAGAAATTGGGAAGAAACAAGCATAATTTTAAAAAGCAAAAAGCAAAAGCAAAAAACGAAAAATGAAGTTGTTATCGGAGCCTATGTGATTAGACCCCATCAGTTAAAATTAGTCCAATGCTTACTCTGACACAAATATAATGATGTAGCGTGGACATTCTAAGTCTACGACAATAACTTGGGAGATTCAGTTTAAAAGCCATTTTTCCACGACAACTAGTTTAGATTTCTAATGTTATCGTATCCCACCTGCACTGGCACCATTACCTGCATTCCCCTTATTTGTTGGAGATGGTTCGTTTTGAGATTCGGACCATGCTTCTCTAGATTCTTTCTGCTTGTCGGTCACACTTGTAAGTATAATGCCAGATGTATTCGTGGAAGGGGAGAAGTCGGGCCGGCTGGACAGTGCTTCTGTTGCTTCAATTTCGAGCCATTGGCCACTTTCATGCTTTCTTTTCCATAGTTCTTTGAATTTTACACACGCATCCCTGATTTTTTTGCAGCAAATAATTCACATTATGAGTGAGTTAACTGTTAGAAATATGGCGTAAACTTTTAGAAATATGAATCTCGGCGTACATCAAACGTGAGGCTCCGAAGCTGTTGGCAAATGATATCAATGGAGACATCTGATCAGTGTCAAAACCAGCAGCAACGGCTCGAGCAAATGCCATCCCTTGCTCCTTTTGCAACATAGTTTTTCGAGTCTCCAGGACTTTCAGAAGCTGAGCTCTAATGGAGATCAAATGAAATTATAAAAAAAATACTCAGCAAAGTCATGAAGCTTCATTGGAAAATTGTCCTCAACTAAAGGAGGCCAACACCAAACATACTTTAATTTACTTATCTTGAAAATTTATTTTGTGCGTTATGAAAAGGGTAAAGAATGATGAAAGAAGGGATTTAACCCTGCAACAATAATTTGATGAAATGAAACCGTGGGAGAACCTTTGCATCTGTGAGGTGGAAGTGAAGAAGTGCAAAAGAGATGAGAGGCAAGAACTTGAGAATAAAATTCCCAATTTAATGTCCTTTATGTGCATGGGATTAGTGAAAAAAAAATAATTAAAAAAAACTTTGAAAGATAAGTTACAGTTCTCTAATTGCAATCATATAAGGTTAAAAATATATATTGAAAAAAATAGTGTAAAAATGGAATCAAATTACATACAAGAATTTTTAGGTTGTCACTTGAGATTATGGGTTGTTAGTTATTTTCATTCCATCCAGTCGCCACTTGCAATAGGCGTACCAAGTACATAGGCATATTAAGTATTCAAGATTCTTAGTGAGCATTAGCAATTTGTTCAGTGGCGTAGATTTATAACAAATCAATTTAAGTCAAGAAGTTAGAGGACACAATTGACAATCAGTAGTAATGGTATGTACTTTGAGTTCTCCTCTGACACTGTATGTCCATTTGCCTCCAGAGGGGTTGCATCAGGCTGCCAGATTTTCAAACAAAACAAATTAAAATGAAGTGAATTTTTTTTATTGAAGAACATATTTGAGTACCGTTTACCTTGTACAAAACAATGGCTTTCTCCTCATTACTATCCAGAACAGATTTGCTTGCTGTAAACAACCACAGTATTTTCATTCATGAATCAATATAACATCTAAGGTACATTAATAATGACAGAACTTCGCTTCATATTCAAATATGTAAATTGGTGAAACAGGGAAGCACCACTTTTCCCTCCCAAAAGATAAACCAAATTAGAAGATACAAATGAACAGAAAACCTCTAAATAGACAGAAAATGTTTGTAGGATTTCTTTAAAAAAAAAAAAAGAAAGAAAGAAAGAATGAGAAGAAATGACTGTATTCTGATTATTCAAGATCAGGATATCAAATCAATGACAAATGTTTTGTGCTAAGAAAATGAAAGAGAATATTCTGCATGCCTCTCCTGTTTCTAGTACCTTCCGTGGTGCTTTCTGTAGGCTTTCCTTGGTTGTCATCTACCTGTTAGATGAAACTGGATTGAAAGATGGACCTATTGTGTCAACATGATGAGTTACAATATGCTAAAATATACTTACAACATTCGGCCCCATGTCATTGTTGCCCTGAATTATGATTGCCTCCTCAATCTGTAAGATCTCTGATTCAATAGTGTACACTCGTTCCAAGATTTCGGGGGTGCTTACGAATCGAACAAACCTAAAGGTGGCATTTTATCAGTTTATAACTATCTATTACCATGAAATTGCCCAAAACACCCCAATACTAGGTTAAGTAACATGAAATGAGGAGTTCAGCATGGGGACATGAAAAATCTCCAAGGTTGTTTGGTACTTAATATGGACACATTTACATTGATTCTAGAGCGAGAGATAGAAGTATATTCACTGGATACTATAAATAGAAACATATTCTTCTTGAAAGTAACATTGGTGTACATTTATAAATGAGAGAGATATACGTTCATAATATCAATACTACCTCTCCATGGTACCCTTTGTGAACCATGTTCTATCACTGCGAGGGTCTGGCTCGAGAATAATTGAATAACCACCTTTGGCCATCTGTTCTTGTGCACTCTTCAAGTGAGCAAGAAAAGGATTCAACAAACCAGAAGCAATCTTCTCAGACTTTCCATTTGCAGATATAATCAAATCACACCTGGTTTGTGTGTGAGAGGAAGAAAGAGATGGTCAACTACTAAATAGCAGTATTCACAATGTCATTTGACTATCAAAAAAGTTATAAATCAATAACTCAATTCTATACTTTCTGCAGAAAGACTGAAGCATAAGAAAAAATGCTACAAAGTTAACAAATAAATCTCTAATTTCAAAAATAAATACCAAGAAATCAAAAACTATAAGATAATGATGACAGCATACAGTTCTGCACCAAGAGCTAATCAACGTTAGAGTTTAAGTAGAATAAACAGAATACACTTCTAAAACTGAACACAACAACATAGCAGATCGCTTCAGAAACAAAGAAGTTCATCAGAGCAATTGTTCATACAGCAGCTGCGAAAATCTAATTGTTCCAACATTCGCCAACAGTTTCAAAGGAAGTCACATGTGAAGAAGAATATAAACCTGGTTCGAGTAGGTGTGAGCTGAAAAGTAGCTGAATCAAGCCTAGTCGAAGACCTCATTGCTGATACAGAAAACAATCAGAAGAACAAAAGTTACAAAGGATAATAAAAGAACCAATGAATTATCCGAAAAAGTGAGATCAGAACAAGAAGTAGAAGGAAGGGAGAAAGAAACCGAATCTGCGAAAAAACAGAACATACCGAAAGACTGATGAACAGGTTTGTGGCAGCAAAAGACGAGCTCGGAAGTGTAAGTAAAAAGTTGCAGAAGAAACCTAAGGGAGAAAGGCCATTTTAGCTCTAAAGATGAGCTTTAATGGCAGCAGGCATGAGAGAGAGAGCAGCAGCAGCGAGAGAATCCAAGACCAGACGAGGAAAGAGAGAGCAACTTTTTTTTGTTTGTTGGGCTGAATGGGAAAATGGAGTGGAGAGGAGGGGCATATTTGGAAAGTGGAATAAAGTTGAAAAACAACGGCATGGACCGGAAACGCTGCCAGAAAGCGACACATATGGAGCCGAAAAAATTATGCGAGTTTCTCCTTGCACACACCTCAATTTCTTTCCACACCCACCTCTTTTTTTTTTTCCTTCTTTAATTTCCTTTTTTCTCCTCCTCCTGTTTTGGCGGTTTGTCTAAATATCGAATAAAAATTAACGGATAAAACTAAAACGCGGGTAAAAAGTTAAACATGGAATTAAAAAATGATAAGTTTGGCTGATTTACGTAAAAAAAAAATTAATGATTTATGCAAGGATATGCACAACAGTGTATTTCTGATCGCAGCTCGAACTCGGTCTCCGGACCGATCTGAATACCTGCACAAAAAGGTGAGCACTCCGACGATCAAGTCAGTATAGGTCGGATTCCCAGCTTAGTTCGAGGTCAAAAATCATCGTACTTGATCGTGAAGTGAGGTCTTCTACTTATGGGTGGTAGTCCCGTTAATCTCGCGACGGTTATACCCGGTGATCTCGGGACCGTCGGTTACACCTGGTAATCTTGGGACCGACGGTTACACCCGATAATCACGCCGCTGACAGTTGCTCACATCGGCCCCCACCGAGCTTCCTAGTAGATCGGACCTTGGCCAGGTCGCACCTCGGCCCTCATACTTAGCACCTGTCAACGCTAGTGGTAGTAATCTCGGCGGTCCGAGCTGGGCATGACTCTTGAGTCATCTTGGAACACCAATAGCTGTCATCCACGTGTCCAGGGTATTCTCTCCCCCAAACATTGGCCCCCTCTCTGTCTGGTTCGATCTCGACCTGGCAGAGAAGTTCATTTGACTCGCTTTGGAACGTGGCGACTTCCTATTCGTGGGAAAACATAACTGTTGCGGTGGATTTGTCGTCGGAGTATTCAAATATTCCGACGCTTCAAATTTTCGGGAAGATCCTAGCCGCTCGTTGATTATATGTGTACGGTGGGGAAATTTTTCGATGAGCTATAAATACCCCCAGTCCTTCAGGTCATACCTTACGCTTCCTGAATTCTTGGAGTTCGATCTGAAGGCAGCACGAACCCTTGGTAGGTCGGTCTCTTCCCTCACTTTCTTTTTCGAACATAGTTTCCATGTCGTCCTCTTTTAGCAGCGACTTAGGATCCGATGAGGATCTAGCTCGTAGGTTAGAATCCGAGCTCGAGGAGATAGAAAACTTTAGGTTCTCCGACGACGGGGAGGATAGTGATGCTTCCACTTCGGGTCAGGGTTTGGAATACCCTTCTAGGATACCCGAGCACTACCTCGGATCCCTTCGTAGGGGGTTCGCTATCCCTGAAAGCATCCTCCTTAGGATTCCGGAGGAGGGGGAGAGAGCTGACAATCCTCCAGAAGGATGGATCACTCTCTACTTCAAAATGTTTGAGTACGGCCTCAGACTTCCCCTTCACCCTTTCGTCCAAGAATTTCTCTTCCGAACTGGGCTGGCTCCGGCTCAAGTGGCCCCCAATGGGTGGGGTGTCATTTTTGCTTTGGCCATCATTTTTTGGTTACGAGCTCGGGATAGTGAAGAGGCCGAGCTGTTGGATGTTGACCAGCTCCTCACGTGCTTCGAAGCGAAAGGATAGCTAAAAAGCCTGGTCTGTACTATATGTGCGCAAGGAAAGGCGCAGGAGGTATAGTTAAGGGGCCGACCTCCATCAAAGGATGGGTGAGGAAGTGGTTCTACGCTTCTGAGGAATGGCTTGCAAAGGACGAGTCAGGTCGTTCCTTCTTTGACGTTCCCACTAGGTTTGGGAA